CACCAATTCTAAAGAACTTATGCACCCCAGTGTTCATAGCAGCACAATTTACAATAGCCAAGTGCTGGAAGCAACATAAGTGCCCACCAGTAAATGAGCGGATCAAAAAACTATGGTACATTTACACAATGGAATACTATGCAGCAGAAAGAAAGAAAGAGCTACTACTCTTCGCAACAGCATGGATGGAACTGGAGAGCATTATGCTAAGCAAAATAAAACAGGGGGCGAAAGACAAATACCATATGATCTCACCTATAAGTGGAATGTAATCAACAAAATAAACAAGCAAGCAAAATATAATGAGCAACATTGAAAGAAAAAACAAACCGACGGTAATGAGAGGGGAGGGGGAGGGGGGGAAAGGGGGAAAAGAAGGGGAAAGGTCAAGTCAAGGAACATGTATAAAGGACCCATGGACAAAGCCAAAGTGGGAAGGATGGTGGGTGGGAGGTGGGAGTGTGTGGAGCAGAGGAAAGTGGTGGCAGGAAAATAGAGACAAATGTATTTGAACAGTAAAAAAAAAAATTAAAAAATGAAATGTCATTAAAGAAAAGAGACAGATTAATGAAAACAAAATGATCATTATCAGGCTGATTTATCACATCAGCAAAAATAGATGCCAGAAGACACACACAATGAAAAATAGAGAAAAGTCAATAAATCCAAAGACTAGTTCTTTGAAAAGACCAATAAAAATTTAAAAACTAGTAAAATAGAGCAAGAAAAATAAAAAAGGGAAAAATGAACAAGGGAAAAATAGGCATAATCACAGAAATTTTAAAAATCATAACAATATAGTATTAATAGCATTTTGGCTGAATTTTTTAAGTTATTAATTAAAATATATTTAAGTAAATAAATAACACTATATCCATAATCCCTTAAATTACACTGGTAGTCAATTTCTACCTCCACCCCAATTAAAAAAATAAAACACAAATGTCAGGAAGTTTTATAGGCAAATTTCATCAAATTTTCAAGCAATGGATAGTTCCTGTATAATACAAATTATTTCTAGGAATAAAATAGAGAGAAAGCTATTAAATACATTTTATGAAACTACTGTAACCTTTGTACCAAACAAGAAAAGACCAGTACAAAAAGAAGCATATAGCATAGAAGTAAAAATCCTAAATATATTATCAAATTTAATATAGCCATGTGTGTGAATGCACACATATGAGTGTACATAAACTCAATGATCAAGGACATTTTATCTTAGGAATACAAGGATGCATCAATATTGGTAAATCCATGTAATTTATCACATTGATAGTTACAGAAGAAAACACTATCAACAGAGAGTAAAATTTTTTTTGATGAATTACCAGTAATCTTTATGACTGAAATTATTAACAAACTAGAACTACATGAATACTTTGTTACTCTGATAGATGATATCCAGGTAAAAAACCTATAACAAAACATGTAATGATAAAACATTAAAATCATGTCTATTACATTCAAGAATAAAACAAATATTACTGTTATCACTCCTACTATTTAAACACTGCACTGTAAGTTCTAAATGAAACACTATAAGAAAAAGAAGATATACTAAAATTTAAAAAAAAGAAAAAAACTGTCACTGTTTGCTGATGGTAAGATTTCCTCATAGAGAAACAAAGAGAATCATAGACAAATAAAATGGAAAAGAAAGTTCAGCAAGGTTGCTAAACACAAGTCAACATAGGAAAACCAATAATGTTTCTATATACCAGCAATAATAAATTTAAAAATGTAATGGAGAAGAAATGATCCAGTGTTACAGCTTAAAGTGTAACTTCCTTGGAGTAAAACAAAAAACATATAAGAAGAGCCTTTAAATAAAAAAGTATGTTATATTTTCAAAGAACATAAAAGTCCTGAACAGTGGAGAATAAGCCATATTCATTAATGGGGTCATCAATATCATAAAATAAAAATCCTACCACAAATTAATCTGTAAATTCAAAGCCATTCTAGTCAAAATCCTATAAGAAAATTTTTGACACTAGATGGACAGATTTTAAAATTCATATTGAGGACTAAATGTCATTCTTCCATACACTTAAGATTTAGGACAAAGATATATTAGTAATATTGATGTTGATCAATTCAACAGAATAAATGAACCAGAAATATATCTGTACACATTTGTACATGATGTGGTCAGCATTACAGCTAAGTAGGGAAACAGGCTTACCTCGCGTTAAAAATAGATGATCTGCACCTCACCATACTAATAGTACATTAAATATACTTAATTGTATAAATGTTTAAAATAAATTTTATAACTATAATAAGAAAATATAAATGATACTTTGTGACCTTGTGGGTCTCTTTAATGTGACACAAAAAAACACACATAAAGAAAAAGATTACAGTTATGTCAAAAAATTTAAACATCTGTATAAAAGACATCATAAGGAAAGTTAAAAGACATATCATAGATTTAAAGAAGCTGTTTGTGACATCCATTTAAAATAGTACTTAGCATGTGGAATAGAAAGAAAACCAAATTCATGAGACATAATAGAAAATTGCAGAAGAGGGAAATGGAATGTCCAAGAATAAACAAAAGATGAGAATAAACAAAACAAAAGATTGCTCAACCTCACTAGCAATCTGAAGAAAAAACATAACAATCTATCCAATTTTGAAAAAAAAGATAAATGTCTTAAATGTTTGTGAGAATGTGTGTAGAATTGTAAATAAAAGCAAATTAATAGATGGCCAATGCTAAAAATTTACCTGCTTTATAGAGGCAACTACTGTCAGATGAATTAAAATTAAGTACTAGATGGATTTAATTCCTTGGATTGGTGGGGGGAGGGAAATTGTACTGTGGAGATATCCAAAGAGGAGATCAGCTCTTTGTACAATGTTTTATTTTGTTAAAAACAAAATCTGAATCAAATGTTTACATTTATTAACTCCTGGTGGTAAATATATGTGTGTCAATATTAGCATCTTAGGTTTTTCAGTTTCCTGTATATTTACATGTCACACACACACTGTGATAACTGTGATTCAAATGGAACTCACTGGACCTTTTGAATAGGATGAACAAAATAGAATTTAGATTGGGAAACTAGATCTAGGCTAAGGTTGAGTTGAGGTACACAACAATAATGGAATCAAGAAATGGAAAGAGTGAGAGAGACAGAGAGAGAATGTCTCAGCTGCAGTAGAAGGTGGTGAGGTGACTGAGGGGAGAGGTATAGAAGGTACAATGGACATTAAGCAAGGTCCATGTAGTACTTGAGAATAACAATAAAATTGAGTAACAAGGAGAGTCATAAAATCATGAATGAATCTGTCTTTTATCTAATAGGCTATTGCGGGTAAAACATCATTTCTGAAGTAATAGGTGACAAATGTCATCTCTTAGAAAAAAATCGCTCTGATGGGGGTTATGAGCTGGTATGACTCAGGTCAGCCCCTTCCTACTTGCCTCAAAAACAAAATCAGAGCACAATAGGCACTTTCCCTCTATAATTGCTCAATCTCCTTGACTCCGTTCCATAAGAAAGGATTGAAGACAGGTCCTTCTATACCCTGTCTGCCACATTTCTATCCAAATAATCACAGAATTTAGCAGTTTGGAGACATTTTTCACAGACACTAGTCACTGTATCAGATTGTTCATCTATAGGGTGGCATTTTCAGTAACAGCGCATTTCTTCCTGCCTAAAAAATATCATGAAGAATAATTTTGCTATGAGCTGGGATAAATTCATTGCTGTCTATCATATTTCTTCAGCAAAAAGGAAACGAAAGAAGATTCTGCATCCTCAGCACGGGCAAATTCCACATCATTCCTACTGAACGCTTTCAACAATTCTGGTTGTGTGTGTGTGTGTGTGTGTGTGTGTGTGTGTGTGTTTAAGTAAAGTGCAAAAAGAAAATTGGGGGAAAAGACTCTTTAAAGTGTATGATTCAAAGGGACTGATATGCAACATAGTATTATTTTTTATTGCTGTACTGTGGGTAGCTGAAAAATAATTAAAGACTAATTTTAAAGTTACCTATAGCTCCATGTAGAGGAGAAAATAACATTTTTTTTTCCATCCGAAATTTAGAATAGCTACCACAGGTTTTCAACAAAACACTGGATCAGGGTTTAGGGCACTGGGAGTATGGATTCAGCTCAGAGTGTAGATCTAACTCCAACAAGATTTTGCTGGTAGTCCAAAATGGGAAAATGTCATTCCTGTAGTGATTTTAACTGGGAAGCTAGGGTGATAATTAGCTACTACTAGAGTCATTATAAACTTTCAAATACTTTTAGAAAAACACAAGAAAAACCGAAAACCCAAAAGGCAGCGGGCGTCTTTGATTGGGTCTTCATTTCATGCAGTGGCCACGTGGCCTGAAATTACAAAAAATGCCTCCCTCCCAGACAGGGCCCGCAAGGCCTTGAAAGAGGAGCAGGGTTTTGCCAGTGAGCTACGAGAGGGTGTCCTTGGAAGCCTATGCATCTCGCCAAGCGACTCAAGGGGCCAGAAAGCACGTCCTTGCTTCGCACGCACTCAGGCAAGCAGGACAGTCTTCACGAAGACCGCTTCCCGCAGCTTCCTGGAGGCCCCTTGTCCACCATGCACCAAGAGCCACGTGGCGGGACTCCTAGGCCTCACCCCCTCATTAGCGGCTCTTCTAGGACGCCCCACTGTGATGTCACCCGCAGCCACGCCCCGTTTCCCAGGAGACGCCACAGACTACTCCCAGGACTCACAGGGCCCAGCCCCAAGGTCCTTGACCCTGACCAGGGACTGTCCTAGAGAGAGTCCCCTGCCTCTAGAACTGCCCCTTCTTCCCTGCGGGCCTACTGCCCTCACTTTCTCTGGGAAGAGAAAGGACCACCGCATGAGTGAGGCTGGAGAGGTCGCCCTCCAGAAGGTAGCTGTCTCAGTCCCCTGCCAAGCCGCGCAGAAAGACCTGTTGTCCTTGGGAGGCAGAGACTGTGCCTGGGCCCTAGTCATCAGTAACGTCGGTGGAGACCGGGTCCGGAAGCCATGGCAGCAGCGGGTGCCCAGGGAAAGGAGTCCACGAAAGTCATCGCCACGAAGGTAAGCGGATCTGTCAAGTGGTACAACGTGAAGCGCGGGTACGGCTTCATCAGAAGGCACGACACCCAGGAAGAGGTGTTCGTTCACCACTCGGCCATCGCCCGGAGCGGCCCTCGCAGGTACCAGCGCGGCGTGGACAACGGGGAGGCTGTCGAGTTCGACGTGGTGCAGGGCGAGCGCGGCACCGAAGCCGCCAACGTGACCGGGCCAGCCGGCGCCCCGGTGAAGGGCAGCCGCTTCCACCCTGGCTTCTACAGCCGTCCTGGCGCGCCGCAACCTCACCATGGTGCCAATGGCGCCGAAGAGGACGTCGCTGTGGACGACAGTGGCACAGAAGGCTTCGCCGCAGCCCAGGGCCAGGGGCGCCGCCGTTCCCGTCGTTCCCGCCGTTCCCGCCGCTCCCACCGACCCCGCCGGCCCCGCCGCCCCCGCCGTCCCCGCCGACCCCGCCAACCCCACGACCAGCAACGGAGGCGCTTCCCGCCCTCCCTTAGGGCCCCAGCCGCCACTCGCCGCCCTGCCGCTTGCGCTCGCGCTCCCGCTCCCGCTGGCGGCGCTCTGCCTGCAAACCTGCCTGCGCCTGCCCCAGTCGCAGAGCCTGAGGGCGCACCACCTCGCCGGGGTCACGGCCCCAGCTACCGGATGAGCCGCCCTAGGGGCCGAGGCACTGCCCCTGGTCCGAAGCCCTCACCCGACCTCGCCCAGGAGCTGGAGGCAGAAAAGGAGAGCGAGAGCACGAGCGATGCCGTCGGCCTGCAGCAGGGACCCCCACCCCGCTACGCATCCTGCCTCCCCGACAACCCGCGCCGTCGCCACCGCCCGCAGCGGCCGCCTGGTGAACAGGGCCAGAAACCTTCCGAAGGAGGAGAGGCCAAGGTCGGGAAGGGCCCTGCTAGGAAACCCGCTTGCGCCGCCAAGAAGACCGGCGCCTCCGAGGGGGGAGCAAAAACCTCCTCTGGTGCTCAGGCCCAGTAACAGTCCCGCTGCCTCCCAGGGACTCCCTGCTCTGGGCTGCAGGGGGTGTCCCCTCGAGGAGATGGTCCCTTTCAGCTCACGCCATCCAAACATCCACAAGGACTGTTACACTTGTGCCCTGAAAAAAAAATACATGCCCCTTGCCCAAGGTTTGAGGATAAATGACAAGATCTCTCTCTCTCTATTTCCAAACTCCACTCTCTTTACCATCTGCCACGGTGGTTTCCACGCATGTGCACACACACTCACACACATGCCTCTGATTCCATTCTTTTAAATTATCTGACCAGGGTTGCAGCTATGATTCTACATCCCCAGCTTAATGAAGTGCAGCAGTTGAAAGACATTGTGTGTAATGCAAAACCAAAGATGATCTGACATTGAAGATTATCTAACATTGTGTGACAATTATTCACCTGGTAGTCATTTCCTCAATAAACCATTCATGTTACCTTTATATGTTATCACTGTTGTCTGATTTTTTTTAAAAGCCTGCCAGTACATAATTGTACTGAGACACTCCCTTCAGTCCTTTTGTCAGAACCAATTTCAGCAAACATCATACTGACGACTAATTCTGGGCTTATGGATTGAACTTCTCAGGATATTCTAAAGTATGAGAATACACCAAGAGGGAAGAAGTGTCCCCATCACTTCCTTTTTCATCCTCCCCCCCACAGAACTGGCCTTCTCTGTAAATAGTCTCTTTCAGGGTATTTGATCTAATACCATTTAGGCGTCTAAAAGAAAGTGGACATGAGGGGTAGAGGGTGGGGGAGATGGATAGATGTTGGGCAAAAGGTACAAACTTTCAGTTAGGAGATGAATAAGTTCTGGGGACACAATCGACAGCATGCTGACTTAAAGATACTCTTTGGTATACTTAAAAGTTACTATAAGAGGACTCATGGGCATGGACATTGGAGCTGGGGATTGTGGGGGATGGTGCAGAGGAGAGCAATGGGAAAAAAGGCGGGACAACTGTAACTGAACAACAATAAAAAAATAAGATTTTAAGAGCAGAAAAAAAAGTACAGCTTAAGTGCTCTCAACATGACAACAGCAACAAAATGGTAATTACATCAAGGGTAGGATTTGTTAATTATCTTGGTAAACATGACACAAATACATGTATGAAATCACCACATCATGCACCTTAAATTTACACAATGTTATATGTGGCAGATGCAGCAGCAGAAGAAACTCCCAGTCTCCCAGAAGGGTTCATTGGAGAAACCCACATGGTCCTAGGATGTACACAGACCCTCCCACCTGGGAATCAGCACTGGAAGGTCCCAATTTGCTTATGGGTAGTGGGGAAGTGACTGAAAGCCAGCCAAGAGCTGAGCAAGTGGCATTATTTCCCCCTCTGACACCTCCCCCACAGACAGAGCCACAAGGCCCAGCAACATGGGTTGCCCCACCCTGATGAATACCTAAGGCTCTGACCCTTGCAATGTAACAGGAGTACTGAGAGGAAGAAATATGGCACAAATGAAAGAACAGATTAAAACTGCAGGAAAAAAAATACAGCTAAGCTATGAAGAGATAGCCAACCTATCAGGTGCACAGTTTGAAACACTGGTAATCAGGATGCTCACAGAAATGGTTGAGTATGGTTGCAAAAGAGAGGAAAAAGTGAAGTCTATGCCAAGTAAAATACATAAAAATACACAGGGAACCAATAGTAAAGGGAAGGAAACCAGGACTCAGCGATTGGGAGCAGAAGGAAGAAATAAGCATTCAACTGGAACAGAACGAAGAAATAAGAATTCAGAAAAATGAGGAGAAGCTTAGGAACCTCCAGGACAACTTTAAACATTCCAGCATCTGAATCATAGGGGTGCCAGAAGGAGAAGAGGAAGAGCAAGACATTGAAAACTTATTTGAAAAAATAATGAAGGAGAAGTTCCCCAATCTGGCCAAGGAAATAGACTTACAGGAAGTCCAGGAAGCTCAGAGAGTTCCTAAGAAGTTGGACCCAAGGAAGCACACACCAAGGCACATAATAATTATATTATCCAAGATTAAAGATAAGGAGAGAATCTTAAAAGCAGCAAGAGAAAAGAAGACAGTTACCTAAAAAGGAGTTCCCATAAGACTATCAGCTGATTTCTCAAAAGAAACCTTACAGGCAAAAAGGGGCTGGAAAGAAGCATTCAAAGTGATGAAAGGTAAGGACCTACATCCAAGATTACTCTGTCCAGCAAAGCTATCACTTAGAATGGAAGGGCAGATAAAATGCTTCCCAGATAAGGTCAAGATAAAGGAGTTCATCATCACTAAGCCTTTATTATATGAAATGTTAAAGGACTTATCTAAGAAAAAGAAGATCAAAACTATAAACAGTAAAGTGACAATAAACTCACAACTATCAACAACTGAACATAAAAAAAGAAACCAGAAACAGAAACAAACTAAGCAAACAACTAGAACAGGAACAGAATCTCAGAAATGGAGATCACATGGAAGGTTATCAGAGGCGAGGGAGAGCGGGGAGCATGGGGGAAAAGGTATGGAGAATAAGCGTAAATGGTAGGTACAAAACAGGCAGGGGGAGGTTAAGAATAGTATAGGAAGTGGAGAAGCCAAAGAACTTACATGTACGACCCATGGACATGAACCTTAGGGGTGGTGGGAATACTGGTGGGTGGGGGTGCAGGGCGGAGGGGAATAAAGCGGAGAAAAAAATAGGAAAAAAAAATTGTAGTTGGCTCCCAGATGGCAGGGTAGGACACAGGGACTATACACCTACATATAGAGCAATTCCTCCTGAACAACAAAGGAGAGAAGGGCCACACTGAGAAGTTGCAGAAGAAACTGAGATGGTGTGACCACGGGAACTTCACCCCAAAGGGGAGACCTGCAGTGGAGAGGGATGTCACTGAGGGGCTGGTGAGGGCAGACTCACCTGCTAAAAGGCACAGTGACAACACAGTGATTTAAAGGGCAACTAGACTATACAATGAAAGAAATCTATTTACTAACCACGAGGCACCTACCTGCCAAACAAATGTGTGGGGAACTTGCAGGAACTCCCTTGGATCTAAGGAGCTGGCAAACTCTATTGCTGACATCCCTCCTCCAGCTAAATAGCGCTCCAGCCACCCTGCAAGGCCTCCGCAGTGGACCCTGGCAGCCCAGGGAGACAGCCTCCTAGGATGCCCCCAGAGTCCCCTGTCCTAGGCCACCTTGCCCCGTGACTGCTGCAACGCAGGCTCGCTTGCCCACTAGGGTTTCCAGGCTCTTTGCAAGCCAGCCAGCTCAGCCAGCACCCACTGCAGCCCCAGCAAGCATTAGCCGCAGCCTGAGTCTGCCAAGCCCCCAGGGGGATCCCAGAGCTTTGCACCCCAGGCCAGTTCAGGGAGCACCTGCTGCAGTCCCATTAACCTGGCCCCCAGTATGAACCCTGGAGACACATACTCCGACCAACTTGCCTTGCGACCTCTGCAACCCCAGCAGCTGGGCCCCTAAGGAGACCCAGAGCCCAATGCCTTTGCATCACCATGCCCCACGTTCCCTGCAGCGCCAGAAAACCAGACCACCGGCAACACCCCAGGTACCCCATGCGACCTCAGCCAGGTCTTATAAAAGGCTCCCCAAGGCGTCCCCAGCTCCATGCCCAGGGCTATCTCAGTGGGAGAGGGCTGTAGCCCTGCCTCCAGATCACCAGGGTAGAGAGCACAGGCATCATGAAGAGGGGAATGGCCGTCTTCAGGTCACTGATGGGGAGCATGTCTGCCACTTATCACCCGCTTCATGAATTTAGATTCCAGTTTAATGTCTACGAACCTCACGTGAGCTTCCTCATGTGAAAAGTAATATAAACAGTGGTACATTAAAGGGGAGCTGGAGCTTCCATCCCAGAGGAACTGCCTTGGAAGTGTTAAAACAGGGCCAAATAACTTTTGGACTGGGCCTAAACCAACAGTATGTGCCAAAGAGCTGTTTGCAAAGCTAACAAGATAGGACTACTGGACTGAAATATTTTTCTAAAGATTTTATTTATTTATTTTTAGAGAGGGCAAGAGAGGGAGAGAAACATCATTGTGTGGTTGGTTGCCTCTGACGTGCCCCCTGCTGGGGACCTGGCCCGCAACCCAGACATGTACCCTGACTGGGAATCGAACCGGTGACCCTTTGGCTCGCAGGCCGGCACTCAATCCACTGAGCCACACCAACCAGAGCAGGACAGAAATTTTTTTTTTAAATTGTTTAGAACGAGCACCACTCATGTTAGCTTATCTGCATCAATAGAAAAAAAAAATACTTTTTTGTATTGATGTAATTGTTCGATTTCAATTTCTCATAAATACCCATTGCCTTTGTGTTCTAATTGGAACACTATTTGGACTACTGCCTGAATCACTGCTTCCTGAGTAACTATTTTTCTTCTTCTGTATTTTTTTAATCTCATGTAAATGCTTGTTGCTTCTGACTTTGAAAGGCCTTTTAGTTTTAGGTTAACATATCTGGCATCTTGAACAGGATCTAAAGTGGCCTTGTTTCCAAGGACTGGAGTCCCCTGGAACCCAGGAACCAGGCATGGGTTCCTACTGTATATACTCTTAATAAGAAATGATAAAGAGAAAGCAAGAATTTTATATCTTCTTAAGAAAATGTCCTGTGTCCTTTCTCTTCAGGTCTATAATTGCTTCAGTAAACTGAATCTTCTTATTGTTAAAAGGGCTAGATTTTGCCTACAACCATTTAACTTTCTGTGTTTTCCTGAAACGTCTTTCATTCTCACCATGATTAAGTGAATAACTTAAGTATTGTCCCACAACGATTTATGATTCTCATATTTGACCAAATGTAAACATAATTAGACTTAATGGCATGTTAGGTTACATGGGAAGCATCACCAAATAAATGATGCTAAACCTTTTATTACAGAAAATTCCTAAAATTCCGACATATTCTGGTATAATGCTAAAAAACTTGCAGTATTTCTCTATCTCTTAAAGTTGTAAATCTTACCATGTCTTAGAAACATAAAC